GTAAAGAAAGCGGACGATAATCATTAGGAGAATTACCTTTTCTACCAGACTTTTCGAGAAGCACTACTCGGGCAACCTTCCATGCCTCAGGAAAAGTACCAGTGTCCAGGCACCTATTGAAAAACCTGGCAAGAAGTGATGGGTGCATTCTTAACAGGACTTTCACGACCGTGTTATCGATTCCTTCGGGACCAGGAGATTTCATTTTCCCGAACTTGAAAGCCGTCAGCTTCACCTCATTCTCAGAAAAGCGCGGATCCACCAAACCACAAGTGGTCAGAGAGATCTCGTCCTCTGGTCCCTCGTTTCCGAAGTGCCGATCCAAGTTGTTTTTATTTTATCTTCTGCTTTCGAGCGAGTAGGTCTAGAACACATTCTCTCTGAATTTTCTCATTGTTGGTGGATGAAACTGCACCAGTGATTAATTTGGCCGCTTTTGTTTGAACACTGTCTAGTCTTACCTTTAGTGATGAGCTTGAGGGAGCCCAGACCGGTGTTGCATATTCCATTATCGGCCTTATTAAGGTGATATATGTTGTTCTGAGAATTCTGGGTTTTTCTCCCCAATTTGTTCTACATAGCCATCTCAGAATGTTTAGTTTTCTGGTAGCTCTATTTGAGGTGCTAATTATGTGTTTTGAAAATTTCAATTCCTCATCAATGACAGTTAAAATAATTTTATTGACATCTTGTCAATACATACAAAGTGCACAGTCTGCACTATTTAAAAAAAAAGATAATATGCATTATATACACTATGTACAATGAATATGGCGCCTCTGCTAGCGCTGCAGAGTTTGGTGGAGAATCGCCAGTGGGTCTCCAGCGACACCACGCATTTTGCGATCTACGATGAATACGTAGATCGCGTACTTCGCCGCTTAAGAGATGGTGATGGCGTGGTCCTCGAGACCAACTGGAATGATCCAGGACTGCAGTATCACACCTAGGTATTTTGGATTTCTAATTTTATCAATTATTTGTTTATTTATGCTTATTTTGTGGTTATATATATGCCTTTTTCCTTGTCAGTGGAGAAGACGCATAGGTTCGGTTTTATTGGGTTTATGGTCATTTGGAGTTCCATTGCCCACTTCTCCAGTCCTCTCATTGATGTGTTCAGTATTTTTAACGATTTTTCTATGCTGCTACTTGTGTGCCATATGGCTATATAGTCTGCATAACAGGCAACCTTTGAGTCTTCAGTGAGGTAAGGATGGAGGTCGTTAATATATAGCAGATAGAGTAGAGGACTGAGCACAGTCCTTGAGGTACACCAGCCCATGTTCTTCCTTCCTTGGAAAATTCTCCATTGACCCAAACCTTTAACCTCTTCCCCTTAAGAAGTCTGCAATCCAGGTTAAGGTTTATCCTCTTACTCCGATGTTGTGCAGCTTTTCACATAATTTCTCCCTCCACCCTCGATCAAAAGCTGAAGTCATATCGAGGAATATAGCCGTGGTCTTCTTTGGCGGTTTTTCCTGGAAAGAATCTATTATTGATTGACAGAAGTAGAACAGTTGATCAGTCGTACAGTGCTGAGATCTATAGGCAGTTTGGTAGAAGTTTATTTTATTATTGTTAGTGATCCAGACTATGAGCCTAGAGTGGATAATTCGTTCTGTTATTTTACAAAGTATGCTGGTAAGAGCAATTGGCCGATAGTTCTTGGATTCCTTGGCATCTTTGTTTGGTTTCAGTTTTGGCACAGTAATTGATATCTTCCAATTCTTTGGTAGTTTACCAGTTTATCATGAAATGTTCAGTATTCGTAGGAGTTGTTTATTAGCTTTGTCTTCAAAGTGTTTAATCATTTGACCAAATATTAGATTATCTCTTGGTGACCTCTTGGATTTTTTTATTGATGAGTTTGGCTCATTCAGTGTGAAGTCTCTCGAGAAAATATCTTGTTGATGGAAGTTTCTTGCTTGTTTAACTAACTGGTTTATATTATTTTTAGAGTCCTGTCTTCATTCGTATAGTTGAGTATGGAAGTGCTTGAAAGATATTCAGCAATTATGTTAGTCATCTGTTTGTTCTCGTTCTCGCTGTTCTATTCATATCGGTTAGAGTATTGGAGGATTGGTGTTGGTTTTGATTGTTTTCTAACACTCTAATCGTATTACAGTGTTGGCTGTCCTTTCTTGGATCCATTTTTTCGCAGAATTCTGCCATTTTTCCCTTGTTTGCATATCGAAATTTCTTGTTCTATTTTGTGACTAATTTCAATGTGTTACTTTCTCTTTTCTTCTGTTTTATTTTTTAAAGAAGTTCATTGATATTGTCTCTCTCTGCAATCATTGCCTCGATGTTGTGGTCCTTCCAGTAAGGTATCCACAGGTCTAACGTCTCCTTCTAGGTATCGATGCTTTTGCAGCTTTTGATATATTCGAAGAGAAGTTTTCCAAGTTTTTGTCAAGCTTTCTGTAATTCAATATTTCGTTGCACAGTTCTTCAAGCTTTTCTGTGAATTTTTTCAAGTCGGCTTTCCTAAAATTCCATGTTCTTTTATTCTGTTGGACATTCTCAATTTTGAAGTTTAGGGTTGTTAAAATTGGTCTGAGGTCACTGATTGCACCTCTCAGGATTTTCCATTGTGTTGTGGGTGCGATGTTGAAATTTATCGCTGTGATGTCTATTGAGGATTCTGTGCCTGTGGACTTGGATAGATATAGGTGTTCTCTCCCTTATTTAATGGTGTAAGGTCGAGGTCGGTGACCTTTGTTATCCTGGACAGATGATCCCCAAGTTGAACTTTTGGCGTTAAAATCGCCGAGTATGATTCTGATATCCGAAGAGGCTTCACTTAATGTCTCTATTGTGTGTACCCATACAAAATTCAAAGATTTCACAAGCTGAAAGTTGGCGATTTTGAGATGCGTCAAGAATTCGCTGCATGGGTTTTCCGGAAAATTGATATTGATGAAAACTGGCTGTCGAATGTTCTGTGGACAGATGATGCTCACTTTTCTCTAAACGGAGAATTTAACATTCAAAACAGCCGCTTTTGGTCAACAGAAAACCCTATGAATTTTACAGAAATGCCACTTTATCAGCCTAAAGTTACAGTTTTGTGTGGGTTCACTTCTTCTTTTATTATTGAGCCATTTTTCTTTGAAAAATCAATGGAAGATCTTTTAAAACCGTTTTTGTAACTGGTAAACGTTATGTTCAACTTTTGAGAGAAAAAGGTATTCCCATATTGCAGGGAAAAAGCACTAAGCGAAATAACATTCATGAAAGTTAGAGGACCTCCTCATATCTCCTACGGCGCCAAACAATTGCTGAAGGATACGTTCGTTGAAATTCGTTGAAAAGTCGCCACTTTATATACCAGTGGCCTCCAAGATCACCAGACTTGACGCCTTGCGATTTTTGTTTATGGGGGTACATTAAATCGTGTGTTTTTCGATGCTGGCCTACCACATTGGCCATGTTGAAGGCTTCTATCAGATGGCACGTTTTATCAATTTCAACAGATATGTTATTTAATGCTGTCCATTCTGTCATTTATTGTCTGCAGGCGGTGATTGAGAATGAAGGGTGCCACATTGATCAAGGATTGTGACCTAATACAAGAGAGAAGGCAGTTACCTCATGTGTTATATAACCTGCCATGTATTATATTATATACCAATATTCTGCAGCTCTTTGTGTTGGGATATGGGGATAATAAATGCTGTCCTCACATCTTGACTCTTTTTTTTTTTTTTTGTGAACAGTAATATTTTGTTTGTCATTTGCTCACATATTATGTCGTGCAAACCAGAGTGTTATAACTTCTCGAATAACACTGGTACAAACAATTTTTCCCCTTATGTTTAGTTTTTCGCTTTTCGCTCATTAGAAGAAATAGCATAAGGAATATTTTCTGTACACCAATAACTTTAGAAATTTTGTGCAAAAAAATATAATACAAAATGATTTTACTACCACGTTTTTCAACGCAAAAGGTCGATTTAAAAAATATTTTTATTTGAGGGGACATATTTTTTAAAATTGGGTACAGTATGAGAGAGAGTTGAATTAAAAATATTAGAAATTTATTATCTTTGGAAACAAACCGTATCTAAAATATCAATTTTTTTTTTGCTACATGTTTTAATTTGCATTTACCTATTTTACATATCTCTGATTGTATTTAAAAATCGTTAACCAATTCTTCATACTTTTGGAGAAGTGGTGTTTTATTAATTTGTTATTTGATATTATTAGGGTTCTTTCCTGGTATTCAAAAAGGAAAAATACGTGTCGATCAGTTATATTTTTCAATTTATCAAACAATTTGGCCGCTGAATCTCTGATTCTGGTAGGACGCCATCTGGCGAATAAAATCAATTTCGAATTTTTCATTATTTGCCATAAAAAATCCCATTGCATCCTGAACACAATGGTGTTTACCGCATTGCTCTAGCGCAAATATTCGCGGAGTTATTAATTTTTAAAGTTGTGCGGGACTTTTAGATCACCCTGTACATTAAAACATTAGGAAATGTGTCTCTACACATCCCAAAAATATTTCAGAATCTCTCAATATAAAAAGAAGTAATTATTCGAATTCAATTTGTATTATATCAAAGGAGAGATAAAATTCAAAAAAGGAACTTTTACAAAAAGAACAATTCCGATAGAAATTGGAAGCAATCTTATTTTGCTGATGAGAGACAAGTGGAGGATTACGCCACTATTCCAGCAATGTTAACTCCATGTAGAACGTGGAATAGTCACAGAACAGTTTCTTAAATTTAATCTCCGAAATTAAGTAAAGGGATTTTGGAAGGATTTCGGAGGTGGGTACGTGGAAGATATATAACATTTTCTAACATAGATGGTAAGTTACATTTTATCAATGTTTTAAATATATTATTGCTTTATATTTTTGTCGGTATCTTTTCCTTGTTATTATGAAGCAGAAATTAACTAATTTAAAATTATTTAACTGAATAAACTAAGCAATTCAGAGCCAGGTCTCTTTTAACTATCTTTTATTTCTCAATCTCTCAGGCCAATATGCTCTTCAACTGGAGTCCTAGATGTACCACTTCCAGCCAATATAGGTCTCCTGTTATTGATATATTGGCCTGATATATTAATATATATATATAAAATAGTTAAAGAGACCTGGATCTGGTTGATTATTTATTTAGTTAAATTGTAAAGACAGGGATGAATATGTACTAAGAATCATAATAGACAAAAATATTTCATCTAATATTTGCTTAAAAACTTAATAAAGGAAGTTGTTTAAGGTCCATCTTTCAAACTTTGTGTATGTGTGTTCTCTGTATTTATTAAGGTATATTAATTTTATAAAGTTTATCTCTATTTTAAATGAAGTTTAACTATTATGAGATACACACATATTATAATATAATTATATTCAATAAAATAATCTCCTGTATTTATTTACGAGTACAACGTACAACTCGTACAACGATGAAATCATCACATTCTTCTAGGGATAAGCTTATTTTATGAAATTTTTAATTTAAATCTCTAGCCTACGCGCCTGAAAGCCTTCTTACAAGAGAAAATAAATAGTCAATAGGACACATATACAGTAGAAGCTCACTTTAGCGGACACCCCGGTAGCGGACACATCTCCACAAAGGACAATTTTCATTTGCAAAATTACCATTTTTATAATTTAGCAACTCTCTAGTAAGAGGAAACCTCTCCCCAAAGGACACTTTGGCTCTAAAATTAAGGGGTTTTGCTGTATTAAGATATTATTCACATACTTGTATAAATATGTTGAAGAAAACTAATTTTAATATTTATTTATTTTTTATTTACAAATGGCGGATATTTTTTCAAACATATTTAATATAGCATACAATATATATAGACAATAAAGATTAATAAAACACTATAGTTTTGACGTGAATATGTTTTAGATTTTTCTGTAGATCAGAAGGGATTTCTAAAGAGAAATATTTGGAGGCTTGGGTATAGGTTATCGGAAAAAGTATATTGTAAATATCCGGGATGTCCATTCTTCTGTTAATACTATTTTATTTTCTTGATTCTGTTGTATATTCGTGATATTACAGTAATGGGTTTTTGGTTCTGATAAGTATATTAGGTTTCCTGTTTCCTTTATATGCTAGTACAATAATGATTCATTGTCTTGGCTCTATGTTCTGATATTCCGTTGTTTTTATGTCTTATTATTATTTCTTATCTCTTGACAACCATCATGACTGGATGAAGTGGAATTCGTCTGCCTTTGTCATTAAGACTGAAAGCACTATTCAGTGGCAGACCGACTTAGCTCCAAAAGATATGATCCCCTCTGACACGAGGAACAGACGCCATGTGCAGCCGCTCCTAACATAGAGTAAAAACGCTGTTTATCCTGTATCCCTGGATTAGGAGTCCTTACAGGGTACTATCAGCCAAGCCAGCTGAGCCCAGGTTTTTTAGTGAGCTTGTTACTGCTCCCTCTCCTCCTTTTTCATCCGGACTTATGACCGGCAAAGGCGAAGCTATTTAAATGTCTGCCAGTTTCAAAACTAAACTTTCTTTCTTGAAAATGAAGATACTTCGGCCAGTGAATCTTTTTATTACCTCGACGTTTCGACAAAAATCTTTTGTCCTCGTCAGGAGCAAACAAAAATTAAACATTCAGCAAGGCGTTAAAGGAGAGAAAGATTTTTAACGCCTTGCTGAATGTTTAATTTTTTTTGCTCCTGACGAGGACAAAAGATTTTTGTCGAAACGTCGAGGTAATAAAAAGATTCACTGGCCGAAGTATCTTCATTTTCAAGAAATATGAATGCCGGCCAGGCAGCCTCAATATTTACGATAAACTTTCTTTGTAAATAAACATTAATTATATCCCTAATTAGTTAGTTTCTCAACACATCACCATATGACAATAATAATATACATTGTAGAAAATATTTATAATATTTTATATACCGAATTTTTAAATATTTATATTATTTATATGTTGATACTCTGAAAACTTTCCTCATTGCTTTTATATTAACTTGTATCTTATATATGTTGATTTGTGTTTGTGCCAAAAAATAATTGTCGTGTTATCCTGAAGTTTGTCTTTCCTAATATTCTTCGTTTCAATATAATAAAAAATAAAGATTCAAAACAAAAGAATAAAAGTATATAATGAATCTTCAATATTTGATATGGTCAATACAAATAATTAAAGCATTGTATATTTGAATTTTCTTTTATTACTTTTTTCCTGTATAATTTATCACACTTCAAAGCTTATAAATTTAGTCTATATACCATATATAACTTCATTTATAATGAAATAATATTTGAAATAGATTCAAATATTTTCTCTTTAAGGTTTAGAATTCAGATCTAAAGAAACAAAAATGATATAAAAATGTATTTAAATATAGTTCTTCAAATATATGTTGAAATTTTGGCAATATGTGATCATATTCAATTTAGAAAAATAACAAAGGCGGTGATTTATTGGTTGAATTCTTTGGTTAGGTTTTAAAATGACGAATTGTAACAACTAAATTTAGTTTCCAACTTTTTGACAAGTTCTTCTCTCCGGAGAGCAATATATTCTGGGCGAGAAATCTTACCAAATTGTTTTGTGCTCCTTTAACCTGCCTTTGATGGAACTTATAAAATTTAAAAACTCTTTTGGTGTGTATTTTGTTTTGAGTAACTCAGCCAAAACATTCTATAAAATAACGATTTTTAAATCGCTGTTTTGAAGCTATTCTAAATATTTTAAATTGGTAATTTAATAATTTTATTAAAGACACTTTATCATTATGTTTAATAAAATATAACATTTAAACATAATTGATAATATAAAATGTTCTATATGGCCAAATATAATAAATGCCGTATTTTCTCACCTCTATTCTTATATTAAATTATTTGTAAGGACATATCGTTAATTTATTGGTCAAAATATGTGCTATTATGAAATTATGTGAGAATATTATCAGAAAATATATAATTTATTGATATATTTTGAATATAACCCTTTTTACTATTATATATTTATACTTTTGTGTGAAAAATACGTTGTTTAAATGTATTAACAAATACACTTTAAAGCAAAAAAACGAAACGAAAACGTGTAACTTTTAATATTTAAAATAATTATACACAACTATAATTTAAGACTACTACCATCATATTGGAGCTTCAAATATTCAATATTTTATATTTATACTGTGAAATATTATCAGTTGGATATCACCTGGAGCAGTTTATTATCGAAGTACAGAATTGTGAGTTTCTTGAAATTCTCACTACAATATTAGTAGAGTAAAATAAATGTCGATCAAGGCACTACTGATATAAAATCCAGTTGAGAAAAATTCTGGAACTATTTATTTGTTTCAGCTATATTAAAAATAATGTTTTATTATAAATATATTTGAATCAAAAGAGATATATCCTGACCGCTCTCGCATGCGCATTTTATATGGCAGAGCGCCATCTAGTGAAACAAAAATATAACTAAATGTTTATTTAATACCTGAACCCTTTTTTCTATTTCTTCAATTATTTTTCACGTTGTATATATATTTTTGAAAAATAATTTTTAAAATAAAATAATAAAAAGGTTCAGGTGTTGATATCCAAATCAAAAGAGGCATATTCTGACCACTCTCACATGAGCCTGTTTAGATGTTAGAGCGCCATCTAGTGGTACATAAATCAACTAAACGTTGATTTACAATATTCCCTGATATTAAGCCAACCAAAATCAGTGAAATATGTAAAATAAAACATATGTAAATTGTGCAGAGAAGCAGTTTGTAGCTGGAATATATAAACTATATAAACGATATATCACATTTAACCAAATATTAAAGAAATTTGGATTGTATTTTATTTCCTTTGCTTGATTAAAACAGGTATAGAAATGTCTGTTGGAGTCCAATATAAATGAAATATGAGTATTTATATTTAAAATCAAATCTTACATATTAAATTTGTTTAAATATCAAATATGATTGTTAAACATTGTAAACTATCGATTAAGAATGAAAATGTTGTTATTAAACTGTAAAATGTTATTAAAATTCAAAATGTCTTTAAAGGGTAATATGTTCCATTCAGAATTTCCAAACCTATATTTGTTTCGAATATATTATTAATATATAATACTATATAATATCAATATGTGTTATAATACCTTGAGATAAAGGTTGGCCATCAGCCAACTGAAATAAATATATATATAAACATATATATAAAAATCACTATATAATAAACCTTTGATTAATAAATATTTCAATAATTTCTGAAAATAATATTCATAGAGAACACAATTATTGCTTTAAATAAATTTAATGCGGTTTTGTTTTTTAAAGTTAACAAAAATGTTGAAAAGTAAAAATAAGTAAAATAAATTTTCAGTGATCAATATTTATTAAATAATTTCAACAGTGTGTCTTCTGGTCAGCGGTAGAATCACGTCTGGTACCACTGATCGTTCTTGCTCTAATTAGATCTACAGTCCAGGACTTACCAATAATCCAGAAAAAAAAACTTACAACTATTTATTTAATAGAATAAAAAATAACGCAAGAAAAACAAGTTTTTGCCAAAATATTACTCTAATCACATTTATTTATCTTTACCGAGAAATACTCTGTATTAAATTTGTGGGTTTAATTTTATGGATGAGTGAATATATTGATAACATACCTGGGATATATCGAATAAAGAAAACTTGAGGAAACACTACGGAATTTTGAATATTAAACTAGTTTTACATATTTTAAAGAAAAATAAGATAACTATTATTCCAGAAGATTAAAATGTTGAAGAGCTATAAATTGTAAGTTGTGCGTTTAACAAATATTCTATAAAAAATTGAAAATAAGTTTTTTTGAATTAAATTCAATTTGAATATGTTTGTGTTTAATTCGTTCTAATAATTTAAATGATAAAGGTTTATTTGAATTAATATTTTATATATAACACTTTTTTGTTGCAAACTATTCCATTTTTTCTGAACACTCTGTGTGAATTAGCATTAAATATTTTATATAAAAGTGATATTTGTAATAAAATTTGTATATAAAAGTAAATTAAAAAATCGTTAATATATCAGCAGATGCTGGGAA